GATTGTGAAATTGTGTCATCAGCTCTACAATCCTCAAACTGTGTCCTGAGAGAGCTGGATCTGAGTAACAATGACCTGCAGGATTCAGGAGTGAAGCTGCTCTCTGATGGAGTGAAGAGTCCAAACTGTCAGCTGCAGATACTGAGGTTTGTCAGATTTGATCTTGGATATCACAAATGCTCAGAACTTGTTAAATTTAACACACTATCCAAAGAGGGCATTCCTGGTTCCAACAGCTAACTAATTGCACTTATTTTTCCATGTGTAACTTTTTAATCAAATGGCTTAAAAAAGTCTAGATGTCTACACTTTTTGCCTTTTTTAATTTTGCTTAAAACATGCTTATTAATTTATCTAATACAGCTTTAATACACCAGATCTTCTCCAAATTGTAAAATTAAAAGTATTTTTATGTGTTTATTCGTAGTATAAACTGCAGACCTAACTTCATGATGTTCAAATCCTTTTGACCTTTCCTTGGTAGCCTACATTAGGAAATCTTAGAATCTATGATTTCAATGAGCACAGTTAGTAAAATAAGTGCCTGGATAAACTTCCACGTTAACATTCATTACATTCATTATAAATACACTGCTGCAAAAACTACCTAAGAGAACAATTCTCTGAAACATGAATAATTAATAACCAACACTGTTGTAATAGCTGATAGAAATCATAGGCATTAACAGGGACATTAAACCAGGCACATTAATTGATCAACAAGAGTATCACTGTAAAAAGTTGCTTTTAACTACTTGAGCAGTCAAAATGCTTGATACTAAGAAAAAAATTAACCCTTGAATACGTTTTATGACTGTGAGAGAAAAAGGTGTTTTTTCATTGCTATCTTATTGTCTATTCTCCTAAGTCTGTGCCCACCTTTAACAATTTATCCTCTATTAACAACGTAGAACTCTGAGACCCCAGTATATGAAAAAATGCCGTTAACCAAAACCTTCCTAATTTTAGTTTTTCAAAACTTAACCTTTCAAACTCTCTGAACTTTGAAACATGTGAACAATACCGTATACAAAAATAAACAGAACACGGTCCGACAACTCCCCATCCCTCTTTTCCAGGCATCCACTTTTCTTCACCATGAAGAATGGGGAAAGAGGGAAAAAAACAGAAACAAAAAAGAAAAAATCGCAGCTCCTGTGCACGCTGTCTTCTTGGCCACTTGGGAGTTATCATTCAGTATCTACATTCCCAAATAACTGAGTTTAAATGTTCATGAAATACATAGGCCCACCTTAATTTGTTGCACATGCTCCTCAGTGACAATGTTCATTAATAAATATTTCAGCTGCCTCCGCGTTAGTGAAGCTCTCATTCTTCCCGTTCCACTTGAAACGTAGTGTTGCTGGAAAGGTGAGTGAATATCTCACGTCGAGTTCCCGCAGTCTCCGTTTCGCCGGGGTGAAAGTCTTCCTCAGAGCAGAGAGTTCTTTCGACATATCTGGAAACAACGAAAGGCAAGAGTCCTCCCAGACAACTCCCCGCTTCCCTTTCACCACGTTGATCACCTTATCTCTTGCAGACTGCCTTAAGAAGCGGATCAGAACCGGTCTCGGGGGCTGATCTGAATTCGGCATGGAAGTCAGCTGCCGATGCACTCTTTCGATCTCGAACTCTCCGCCTGTGTCTAACTCGAGGCCCTCCTTCAGAATCCTCTGTATGCAAGTCAACAAAGTCCCATTAGCACCGTAAGTCTCTTTAAGGCCCACCAGCCTTACGTTATTTCGTCTGCTCTGGTTTTCGAGAGTTTTTACACGGTTCCATAACACATCCACTTGTTTTTTCCTGGCACTGCTGTCATTCACCAGTCTCTCCGAATAATCTTCTAGATGAGCGATACGCTCCTCTGCTTCTCCCAATCTCTCCTGAATAGCCGTTACCGTTGTTTTCAGTTCTGCCTGGTTTGTTTAATAGTTGAAACAGTGTAGAGCTCATTTTAGAAACTTCCACGAACAGTTTCTGGCTTGACAGTTGAGGCTTTCATTCGAATCTTTAGGGCTGCTGGGCGTGTCTGAAGTATCGTCCTCAATTTCGTGTGCCGGGACTTTCCGTGTGGAAGGACGGCTTGTAGCTTTAAAATATCTTGACGTAGCCATAACTTTTTGTGCTCTTTTTCAGAATTCTTAATGCACTGACTTCTTAACTATCTGCGGTGAGCATATGATCACGTAAACTTGTAGGATTATAAGCGATTAGAGTAAATTAACTCCTGAGTGGCACGAAGATCTCAAACATGCTGCCATCTTGGTCGCTGCCCCCACGTGACTCGTGAAACATATTTTTACAATATTAAACTGTAAAGTAATTTATGGCAACAGACTGTAGAAAAACAGTAATTTACTGTCAACTCTGTTGCAAGTAGATTACCGTAAAATCAAGAAGAAGAAAAAACAGCAATGTACTGTAAAACCTAACAGTCAAATTTATTAAACAAAACAAGTTAATTTCACTAAAGTGTTAGTCAAAGTTAATGAAAAAATTTAATTGTAAATGTTGGACTGAAGTGGTATTTAATGTGTTTTTTTCACAAGAAACAAAAGAAGAGATCTGTTGGTGTTTAACATTTTGTTGGGATTTAAAGCGTTTCTGTTGTCTGAGTTTTGTGGGTCTCCATTGTGCTGAAGAGTAGAGCCTGTGATTCAGTCAGTGATGAGCTGAGAAACACTGATGCTATGCTGTATGTTGCTTTATTTAAAGGCAGAAATGGTGTAGTTGCTGATACAGTGAGAATCTCTTACATAATTTTAAATGCACATGCTGTTGTTAGCTAGCAGTTATCTGCAAGATATTTTTCTTGATGTTTCTAGTTTTAATGATTTTGTTTTATTTGGTTATTTTTACTTTAAGTAATATTCTTTTTTAGTGAATTCAAATGAAATAAGTTAATGGGAATAATATGCTCATATAGTTTATATATATTAGTTTATTAGTTTAAATGTCAGTCAGCCAGTTTAAGGCAGCCGGTTTCTGCAAATGAAATGAATTGACTTGAGTTTTAATTTAGTTCATGGTATTTTTACAACAACATACTGTAATGTAGATTATGGCAAATAACTGTAAAATTAACAGTACATTATTTTACTGTAAATTAACAGGATTTTTTTACAGTGTAGTTTTCCTAATTTTAGCACTGACACTTCTTAGTGTCTTATTTAATCTTCTCAAACTATAATCTGCAGATACTCAAGTACGTGGGGCAGTAACAGGATTTTACACAAGATCACTAATATTGATAATCAGTGTTGGGTGTTATATGTATACACATACAGTACTGTGTGAACATTTCCGGCACTTGCTGTAAAGTGAAGACGTCTTAAAATATATATTTTATTAATTAACATAAAATCAAATCCAATCAGTATTTGATGGCCACCTTTTGGGTCCATGGAAAACAGAACATCATGTGCAATGCTGAATATGAGTCGTGTAACTGTCTACTGAATGTGACATCTTGTGTATGGTACGGTGTGTTTTTATTTTAGTTCCTGTTATTTATTATTTATTAGATTTATTTATTTTATTTTATTAGTTATATGTATACACATACAGTACTGTGTGAACATTTCCGGCACTTGCTGTAAAGTGAAGACTTCTTAAAAATATATATTTTATTAATTAACATAAAAACAAATCAAATCAGTGTTTGATGGCCACCTTTTGGGTCCATGGATGAGGACCCATGGACCCATCCCACCCAGGTAATTTTCGTTTTGAATTGTTACCTTCGGGCAGACGGTAGAAGATACTGAAAACTCGAATGAACAGACTAAAGAATAGTTTCTATGCCAAAGCCATATCTATTTTAAATACTGGAATAACTTAAACAGAACATCATGTGCAATGCTGAATATGAGTCGTGTAACTGTCTGCTGAATGTGACATGTCTTGTGTATGGTATGGTGTGTTTTTATTTTAGTTCCTGTTATTTATTATTTATTAGATTTATTTATTTTATTTTAGATTTATTTTATTAGATCATGCACCCAAATGATTGCATTTCAATTTCGTTGTACTTGTACAATGACAATAAAGACATTTAATTCAATTCAATTTAATTCAGTTTTGGTAAGCAATATTTGAAAAACGCTTTTGAAAAGTGTGTCGAACCGAGTACCAAAACACACTTGTAGCCAATCAGCAGTGAGGGGCGTGTCTACCCACCATATCTATTTTAAATACTGGAATAACTTAAACAGAACATCATGTGCAATGCTGAATATGAGTCGTGTAACTGTCTGCTGAATGTGACATGTCTTGTGTATGGTATGGTGTGTTTTTATTTTAGTTCCTGTTATTTATTATTTATTAGATTTATTTATTTTATTTTAGATTTATTTTATTAGATCATGCACCCAAATGATTGCATTTCAATTTCGTTGTACTTGTACAATGACAATTACCTGCTCTACTGCAAGTCGATTAAAATAGGGGTGGGATCCTTTTGGGGGTAGGGGCATGTTTGTTTTAGTGATTTGAAATATCAGTATTGTTTACCAGAACTCGCTTATCCCTCCTTTAAATTTATACCTTGGTCGAAATAATGTTGATATTTTGAGAGTTTTTGAACTGTTTGAACAATTTATTTTGTGTTTAGTCACCTGGTCTTGAATTTATCCTCACTAAGTTATGGGTGCTGTTGGCTTTTTGAGCTGATGTGTCTTTGGAGGTGTCTACTCATGAGGGGGAGGAGAGAGCGCTCAGTGCACAGGACGGACATTAGCAGAACGACTACCGAAAGAGACAGACGGCAGAAAAAAAGAAAATGTCTGCGGAATTAAACATTTAAAAGAAGGCTTACGATCAGCAATCAAGCAAGGACACTTGCCTGATCTACTGCAAGTCGATTAAAATAGGGGCGGGATCCTTTTGGGGGTAGGGGCATGTTTGTTTTAGTGATTTGAAATATCAGTATTGTTTACCACACTCACACACTCATGTTTGTTTGACTATATTATTAAGTACATTGCATAGACGTCCACTGATTTTATAACAGGTTAATGATATTTTCTATAGCCTAACCCAAATCCTACCCCTAAACCTACCCCTCACAGAAACATGTGCAAAACAACAGACTTAATAAAAATATGTTTTGGCCAATTTGTAAGTCGATTGTCATAATATTTCACTGTAGAAGTTTGGACAGTAGATATAAGTTTATTAGACTTTTAATAATCAATAATTTCTCATAGTTTCTATTTGTCTCTTTCTAGTGTGGACAATGGAGAACATTTAAGAATCACACCAGGACTGAGAAAATGTAGGTCTTTTCTCTGACACACATTCACACACACCAAACACAGCACACACTCAACTTGTGTTGTCTGATGAGAAGAGGAAGATTATACATGTGACAGAACCGCAGCCGTATCCTGATCATCCAGAGAGATTTGATAGCTGTGAGCAGGTTCTGTGTGTTGAGAGTCTGACTGGACGCTGTTACTGGGAGGCTGAATGGAGTGGGAAGGGTGCTGAAATAGTAGTGTCATATAAAGACATCAGGAGGAAAGGAGTGAGTGATTGCTGGTTTGGATACAATGACAAATCCTGGAGTCTGTACTGTTGTGCCAATGAATTCACTATCTGGCACAGTAATGTGAGCAATAATATACCCTTCCTGGAGACCCACCACTCTGCACATTTTCTTTCCCCCTTACTTGATTCAGATCATCAGCTCATTAGGAGGCAGCTCCATTAACTGAGTGTGTTAGATAAGAGAGACGTACAACATGTGCAGAGCATTGGGTCGTCAGGACCAGGATTGAAAACCATGTTTTCATCCTTGCTCCTTGTGTTTATTTATTTATATATATATATATAATTTTTTCTTCTTCTTCTTCTTTAATGTAAACTCTGTGTTTGTCTCAATGGAAGTGTCTTACATTGTTGGTTGTTCCCTGTCTTGTTATGTACATTAAGCAATAATACAAAATAAACATCACGCAATTCACCCGTTTCTCCTGAAATACATGAAAGTAAGTGGCCAGTGAACTGGGAGAAAAACAAAGTAAACTTTATATTTACCTACACAATGTGTATTTGATAGGAATAAAACATATGTCATATTTTAATTGAAAGGATTATTATTGCCGCTTTCCGTGGTAAACCTTTTTTTTCTTCTTTTTTTGCTAGTACTTAATTGAAATGTCTATTTAAATGTGAGCGCGTCTGTCTCTGGCTCAGCATGAAATCAAATAAATGCCCCCAAATAAAATTCTGCTTAGGGCCCCATAAAGGCGTGGGGCGGCCCTGATTACATTGTATTCCTATCAAATTATTACTGTATATATAGGAAAACGTCTGTAGTCTCACGTTTTTCCTTTTTTTTTTTTTTGTCAAAATGTACATCCCAGCTAATGTCTGCTTGGAACGCTAGCCTTCTACAAATGCAGCATCCACCGGATCTACACTCGGCCTGTGTTTGTGGTTAGTTCTTGTGAGCTCATTATTCTCATGTCACAGGTTCTTCAGAAGGTGTAGTTTTGTCATGTTTCCTGCAGGAGGCGCTGGAGGCTTCAGTCAATGTGCTGGAACAGGGTCTGGAAACGTGATCAGTCAACCCTGTGAAACTGCTGCTGATCACAACCAAGTGAGTCAGGTTCACATTCTGTATTTCACCATATGGTTTATTGGCACAATTATCAATACACAGGCAGAAGTCGCAAGGCATGCTGGGTAATTGGCAGCACAACGATACAAAGTAAAAGCTTAATTGTAATCTTTGTGAGACTCTAAAACAATGAGCAGGGGTGCGTTTCTCAAAAGCATGGTAAGGTAAGTTAATCAGAGAGAGCATTGGAGGCAATAAGTCTACGATCCACTTAGGCTTACGATGCTTTTGGGAAACGCAGCCCAGATCAGTGAAAGAACGACGGAGAGCATTTTAAGTTTGGAAAAAAACTAATAATATTCAACCACATCATGCAATATTCAGACAGTTTCAAAGTTTTTTTTTTTTTACTCATTATAGCCTCTCAATGACAAGTAACAAATATAAGTTAAAAATCACCCCCACCTTTTATTTATTTGTTTATCTTATTTAAGCTATTTTTAACAAAGGGCAAAACCATACAAATACACCAAACTGTAAAAGTTCTTACAGAACTTGCACTCCTTTAGTCCTTTTCCATTTTCACCTCCACTGATTTATCTTCTTCTTTTTCATCTTCTTTTTCAGATTCATCTTCTGGCAATCTTTCAATTAATTCCTCAGCTTCAGCAAGTGAAGAGCAGTTTTCTCCATTTGAAAGGTATACATTTGGATCCAGATCACAACAACTGAGGCTTGCCTTAAGCCTTCTTTTAGGGAAGGTCAGGACGTCTTCGGCGTAAAAGACAAGGCTAACATGATCCCACACATAAAACTGATGTGAATACATGGGTTCTGCCACTGCTGTGTCTCCACTGATTGCCAGTTGGAAGTTGTGAGTTTCACAAATGGCTTGGGCTCTCCAGATGATTTGATGTCCATCATAAGCAACCCATGGGCTGTGTGTTAGCTTTGGAAATTGACTGAACAGCGTATTAACCAGAGGGCTGTGAACGAGAACAACATACTCAATCTCCTGCTTGAACAGTTTGGTCCCGTAGATCCGGAGAACTGGCTCTTGACCCTCACACTTCTGCTTCTTGTAGGCTTCCATCAGCTCAGTCAGAGGAAAGGTGAAGCGGAAGTTACCGTAGCGTGAGAATTCGTTCAGGAACAAGGGTGATGTGGTGAATTCACTCAGGAACGGCGGATGAGCTCTTTTTTGTTCTTTGGTTATCTCTGGGAACAATTTCTCGAGGTAACGCTCCTCAGCTGCTCTTATATCCGCTTCATTAATCTTCAGGCTCCACCATGAAAACGAATCTTCATCAAGACCCATGAATCCCTCTGACTTCCAGATGTCTTCCAGGCTCGTCTTGTTAGTGACATGAGCTACTTCTGTGATGTGAAATTCAACAGGAGAAGGATAATCAGGGATGTCTTTCGGAAGATATGTTTTATTCATATGTCGATGTTTTATCTCATCTTTTGTCTTCAGATCTTTTATTGCAATGTGCTCTTTTTTACAGACGTGTGGCTTTGCTTTTCGAGCATTTTTTTGGGGGCTGAAGTCTGCCTGGGAAGATAAAGTACAGTTAGTTGAGGTATGTTTTGTTTTAGTCATATTCGCATATAAAGTGAAATGAAATGACAGTTCACTTCTAACTTCACAAATACACACTATGTGCATCCTGTATGGAAACCAAACACTGAACAGTCCTACAGGAGACACAAAGTAAAGCACATTTAAGGAGAATTATAGCAATAGTATCAGCAATAATGGTGTATGGAGTAATGAAGTATGTACTAAAGTGTCATGCAGAGCGTACTTGGCACCGTCATACAGTACAGTAAACACAATGGTTAATCATTTACAAACATTACATCCCTTTTTGTATGTTTTTTTTTCTAAGCAAAATGTTAAGGTGAATTCTGTAAATATAAATGAAGTCTAAACAAGCTGCAAACTGTCATTTGTGTACCTACAATAATTAAAAAATCAAGAGCATGTACAAAATAGTACATTTTTAAAATATATTTTGTTGTAAACTGTGTTTAAATGAACATAAGCCATTTTCATATTCACATTTTATCAAAAAGCTACAATACTATGACAGCTAGGTGCATTAAAAGCAATTTATACTACGCGGCCGTTGAATGCTTGAATCTGATTGGCTGACGAACGTTCTGAGGTGTGCAATTATTTTCAGGGAAACGCACGGCGAATGTAGTTCCAGGCAGCTCTCTTGACCGCATTACAGCTCCATATCACTTTGCATAGTTACTGTAATAACGTACCTATACAGTACCTATACAGCACTCAGGAATTACTGCAATCACACGTGCTCGCACACGCACAATACGGTCACGCAGTTTGCACAAAAAGGTGTTGTCAGCGCTGCCCTGATGATTTTATCAGTTAGCCCAGTGGTGTAGTGGAGGGTGTAGCCTACGCAGGTATACGGTACGGAGGACGAAACATGCAAAAACAATAAATAAATAAATACACAAATAAATAAATAAATGTGTGTATAAATACACAAATTCTTGTTTAAATAGATATAGAAATAATTAAACGTGTGATTAAAGTAGGCAAATAAATAAAATAAATTAGTGGGCAAATGGAAAATGTTTAAGGAAATGCTAAACTCATCCTATTTATTTTCCTTTGATCACTCATTTATTTCTGAATGTAGTTCCACATTTATTTTTCCTCTGCACAACATGCTAATGAGAGGGTGTCAACCACGGACTTGGTCGGGTCTTGTGATAGCTGGGGGCGCGGCTTTCCCGCTGACAGGAAATGCATGGTGTAAATCCAGTATGGCCTACGTAAAGTCACTTTTTCCGGTTAACAGAGCAAGATACATAAAAAACTGAGCTGTATTGTCCGTACAGTATCTGTGACTTTACAAACGGATATTCGCAAATCTAGGGTCTCTCTCTAAAGTTACATATGACATTGGTATACACTTTTCTAACTTCAATAGCATTTGAGGAAAATTAATTACAGTAACACAACCAACTATTATTTAAAGTATTTAAACAAGAATTTGTGTATTTATACACACATTTATTTATTTATTTGCATATTTATTTATTTATTTGTGTATTTATTGTTTTTGCAGGTTTGGCCCTCCATAATACAGCGACTTCTTTGTCAGTCGGCTTTGCGTATACCCACTTCTAAATGATGTGCATCATTCATTAGTGTCCTGCATTAGGCAAAATCATGACAGTCCACCACACGAATAGCTAATCCAATCGCATGTAAAAAATACAAATATTCCCTAAAAACACCCAGTAAAGACAGTGATGCGGTCAGGACCGTGGCACCGCTTCCTTTGAAATAAGTTTGATGATTGCGCCCGCTCCGTCAGTCAGAGAGGATGCTGATTGCCGACAGACAGAGATGCTGCTTCTTCATGCGCGAGAGCATGTCAGGGGATGCGCGCAGAGTGGTAAAATAATAGTTAATTATTGATTACTAATTTGAATCAGTACATTACAACGAAAACAATAGCTTAAAAACCAGTAAACTCCTGTAAACATTTCAGTCCAAGGATCCAGTAAACGAATGCGTTCAAACAGTAAAAACAGCTCTAATACAGAGAAAACTCATGGGGACAGGAGAGCTGTCAGTCAATAAATTGAAAATGTAACTCAGATATTCTCTTGTAAATTAAAAAGTAATGCGTTACTTTACTAGTTACTTGAAAAAAGTAATCTGATTACGTAACTGGCATTCCTTGTAATATATTACCCCCAACACTGCGTATAGTAGCATGTACAGTAAGATCAAGACAGCAGGTTTAGTGGTCTTTTGGCGTTTCCCTGTGGTCCTATTTGATATCGCAGCAGGTGGTGGGGATGGGGGGATCAATTCTGGATAAATTGATAGTCACGACATTATTCTCATACGAACAGACAACTAAACAAAATAGCATGTAATGTACTAGAGGTTCTGACAAAATGTTAATTGCTGCAGTCTATTTTTTTTAAATTATTGCAAAATCTGCACCTCTTCTGTGGCAAATTTTTATTTCATAATGATTCTTACTCCGTGAAGTCAAGCAGCAGAAGTTAAGTGACAATATGCAAATACTACTGGCCCATTTTGGGGTGAACTAAATATACCCACTTCTCCAGGCACCACTACACCACATTACAATTTTATGTTTTTTATAATAATTTTACAACTTTTAATGTATGCAATAATATAAATCCATTAAACGACAACACCATTTGATCTAAAGGTATCAAACCAACTGTAAAATATTCAGAATATTATTCCCTATAATGCACACGGCTTGTTTTTTCAGATTATGCCTTTACTGTTTTTATATATAGCACTGAAACCATATTTTTCACGTTTATTATACTGTACCCACTTAAATGAATTAAACTCTGACACAGTTTGAGATAAAGGTGTCTGAAAAACAAGCCGTGTGCATTATAGGGAATAATATTCTGAATATTTTACAGTTGGTTTGATACCTTTAGATCAAATGGTGTTGTCGTTTAATGGATTTATATTATTGCAGTTAAATTGTTTAATTCATTTAAATGGTTAATTATTATTTTTTAATTCCTAGAAATTAAGCCTTGTGCAACATAAAGGGCATATATTTATGTCTATCTGAGTTAGTTTGGGCTCAAAACATAAAAGCTGGAAAGAGTTTAATTGGCAAAAAACCCCGAATGTCTAATGAATGTCAAACATCAAACTAACTTTACCGCCGTCCGAGCATCGGGTGTGCATTATTTTTCTAATAATTCAACGGCCCGGAGTCAATTATTCCTTACATATTCAGCACATCTTGGTGCTCACTGTATGATGTTGATTTTTGTTCATCAGGAGTTTGATGTCGAATGTAAAGATTTGCCTATACTTACTGCCATAGTTAGATGTCTATGTTCTCCAGAAAAGTGTGCTGTTCTTCCGCTGTGTCTTGTGAAGACTGAGATCTTTCCTCTGCTGGTTTTTAAAGGTTTTCCATCTGAAAGCTGCCACGTCTGTGAGGGCTGATTCTTTACAAACGAAACTTATCTTCCCTCACTTATCTTACGAAATTACACAGGAAACAATTTTAAGTTTCGTTCTTAGCTCACACAAATAAATATAAAACTGATAAAGAGTAAATGAAGCAAAATAATGTATCACAAAACAAGCTTTACTAAATATAGGCAACAGACTAAAATGTGTTCTAACACAGCCAAAGAGAGATCAGCTCATCTTGACTGCTTTTTTTGTACACACATGTGAAAGTATATTTAGGCAGATTCTCTAAAACTTAGCAAGAACAAAAGGTCATGCACAGTCTGTACAAGTCATTTCTTAGAAATCTGTGTCCTAATAGGCTGTGCGTCATTATGTGACCGTGAGTCATTTTCTTTATCTTCAGCCACCATCGGATCATAATTCATGGTACGTTTTTTAGACCACAGTAAAGATAGTTTGCGGTGTGATATTCAGATTTCCTTTGGCTATAAATACACAGTGCGCTGTCATAGACAAGACAATAATACCGAGTGTCGTTCTCCATGATTTGTGAATTCAGGTGACGCTGTCCTTCGGGCCGAAATCAGGTTTTTTTCGTAGCGGCTCTCAATTTTATAATGCCTATAGCTCCAAAAGTTGGACACTTAGAGGAATGAAACCGGTGTCATATTCACCAGCTTGATCTGTGAATTTTTTCACAGCAAAGCTCTTGTCCGTAAACCCCTTGGTAAGTCCGCTAGTAAGGAATGTGAAAGAAAGGCGTTCTTCATGTTTAACATCTGTTACCAATAAACACGCAGACTGCTGGAATACAAAAACATTGTTTTAGGTCGAGCTCGATTTGTGAAAACTTTCCCAAACGCAGTTTATCGCGTGGCAGTGTTTCTCTTTGCTCTGCCCCCCGTTTTGTGTAGCCTATAATACACATATACAATTGTACACTTTGTTTGACAATAAAGTTTTGGTTGTTGTACCTTTCCTTGAGTAATTGGCTTCAATATTCTGATTTGCAAAAGTTTCACAGTGCAGTGTTGGTCAGTTAACCCTTCCTTGATTCATTTACATCACTATTTTGATTTGTGAAAACTTTCACAGTGCAGTTATGGTCAGATAACGGTTCAGTCACTAACATCACTATTCTGATCTGTGGAAACTGTCACAGTTCACTACGGGTCAGCTGAGGTGCTAATTTTCTGCTATGATTTCTCTGCAGCAGGGACTGGAGCACTTGTCAGGATAGAAGAAAAATGGATGGGGAAAAATACTATCAAATTCTTGAGGAAAATCTGCTGCCCTCCGCCATAAAGTTGTCAATGGGAAGAAGGTTTACCTGACCCAAACTGACCTGTGAAAGCTTTCACAGATCAGAATAGTGATGTTAATGACCCAGGGAAAAGGTCAGCTGACCCGTACTTACATCTGAAAGTTACCACAGATCAGAATAGTGATGTACATACCGTGAGGAATGATGGCACTTGGGTGGTCTGCTCCCATTTCCCAGATTTGGGCCACAAGGAAACCATATCAATACCACATGTCAGCCAAGAACAAAACAAATAAAGTTGGACTGGCCCAAATCTGGGTAACAGTTCATTTTAATTCTGGTCCAGATCCGACACCTTGCTCTGGCCCACATACCACGTGGAAGTATGGCAATTATACGGCCCTCTCCTGATTGCCATATTTGGGTCTCAAGGAAGCCTTAGCAATGACACATGTAACCCAACAACAAACCACATAAACCACACCTGACCCTAATGTGGGCCTTCAACCTGCCACAGGAGCTGCTGAAACAGTTCTACTCTGCTATCATTGAGTCTGTCCTGTGTTCATCCATAACTGTCTGGTTTGGTTCAGCAACCAAATCAGACATCAAGAGACTACAACGGACAGTCAGGACTGCTGAGAGGATTATTGGTGTCCCTCTGCCCAGCCTCCAAGATCTTTACATCTCCAGAGTGAGAAAAAAGGGCTACAAAAATCACCTTGGACCCCTCACACCCAGCCCACTCTCTCTTCGAACTGTTGCCTTCTGGTCGGCGCTACAGAGCACTGACCACCAGAACAGTCAGGCACAAGAACAGTTTTTTCCCACAAGCTATATTCAGTCTGAACAATTAATCTTTCATAATTATACATCGTCCATCACAACTAACATAGTATATTTATATTAAACTGCACACTTTGTAAATAACATATCTGCACACTAATAAACATATATGTACATTTATCTAAACAATTACATTTTTTCCTATACTTCTATTTCTGTATATAGTACATTATTCAATTTTTCTTTTTTTATTATATTAGTGTTATATTACATCCCTACTGTGTTATTCCTATGTATGTCTGCACTATCATGTATGTCTGCACTATGTTTGTACTTTCTTCTACACTGGAAGCTCCTGTCGTCAAGTCAAATTCCTTGTGTGTGTAAACATACTTGGTAATAAAGCTCTTCTGATTCTGATTCTGATTCTGAACAGATGATCCAAACACATTTCTGAACAAAATGCATCATTTATTAACATTGCCAATAAAAAACCCATTGCATGATTACATTTCCAAAACTGGGAAGCAATCTAAACATGAAAAAACAGAAACAGAACAATAAACAAAATAGGTGTATAGAAAATATTGTAGAAACTAAATAAAAACAAAAAATATTTTCAGTAGCTGTGAATATGTTAGCTTATCCAAAAAAAACTAACTTGTCTGACAATGCAGAAGTGAACACTACAGAACCTTAGCAACAGGAACAATCCAAACGTATAGGATTATTGACCTCCTTGACTGGGCCCATCAGCGTCATGGCAATCTTGCAGGCCTTTAATGAACACACAAATGAAAAAAAAACAGTTGACTCAGTAACAGAATGCAGATAATACAATGGCGTTGAAGACACACACACACACACATACACAAAACAATTTAAAAGCCAAATTAAACAAAATCCCTTAAACAAAATATAATTACAGGAAATTGTAATTATTGTACTTATTTTTTGTTATTGTTAAAGGTGCATGTAAGGTAATGTAACTTTTTCACCATCTAGCAAGGGTAGCATGATCTGAAAATGAATGCGAGCGTGCATTCAAGAAAGATCTTGTCTGGGCAAACCTAGTCCCTATGTCTTTTGGTCTGACTCCCCCTTTACAGTATTTATTCAACTTTGTTAATGTTAGATAAAAATACAGTCGATCATTTTTTGTTCATATTAGTTCACAGTGCATTAACTAATGTTAAATTCAACTTTTGATTTTAATAATGTATTAATAAACATTGTAATTAACATTAACTAAGATTAATAAATGCTCTAGAAAAATCCTTAGTTCGTGTTAACTAAAGTAGTAAACTAATTTTAACCAATGAAACCTTGTAAAGTGTTACCAATGGTTTTAATGCACACCTTAGAGCCAATCGGAATCAAGTATTCAGACAGACCATGGTATAATACAAATTATTACACACATATAGTAAAAACACAATGTAACTGACATATAGGTGTCTTGGACACTCCTTCGTTTTTCTTGTTTTCTCCTCCCTCCGTCTCGGTCGCATGCAAGATGGAGCCATTTTTTCATATAAAACTCTATCTCTTGATCGGTGGCCGTCGCTGTTAGCCTGTACAGAAAATAGAAGCCAAGGACTCATAAAAGGTAAGGTAAAACAACCAAACCTTTATATTGTGAAAGATTACACAAATCACAATAGTCTATTAGAGCCGTGTATGATTTATCTAATGGCTTGGAAAACCATTATTCACTGGAACAGCAACGTATGACATTATGACAGAAGAAAAAAAGAGCAGTGCAAAGAGAAACAAAGACACGCGATAAACTGCGTTTGGGAAAGTTTTCACAAATCGAGTTTGACCTAAAAACAATAGCTGTGTAAGATCATGATTGAGAAATGTTGGATACTGCTGGAAATGCTGCTATGGATTTTTTTGTTTGCCCCAGTGAAGCATTTCTATTAATATAACTGATTAAGTAGTCAAACTCTTTCCATATCAGCAGAATAGTGTGGTACAGAAAGTCTATGTCCACAAAACAGGTTCTGAATGAATTACGTTACTGATACCTAGTGGTCAAAAGCAACAGCAAAAGTAATAGGTCAATATCATTGAATTGCAGACACAGGTTTTGAATAGCTAGGTTGGCTTGTACACTATATTGCCAAAAGTATTGGACCCCCCCCTTCTAATGAACAGGTTTTGGCTTTCTGTAGACCAGTCAAATTCTTCCACACTGACCGAATCAATCTTTTTTATTATTATTTTTTTTTTACCTTGCCTTATACACAGAGGCATTGTTGTGTTAGAATAGAAAAGGGTCCTGTCCAAACTATTGCTATAAAATTAGAATAATGTTTGGTGCGGTAGGGGCCCAACCCCATATTCTTTCATAGGGCCCAAAATTGCTAATTTGTCTTGACTGTGTTCTTAAAGCAGTGTTTACCGGTGTGCTTGAAACTCCGCTTATCACTGTATTTCACTGATTTCCTTTTGAAGTTTAAAATAAGGGTATCCTTTAGATTTGTTCAGGTTCAAAATAATCTAGTTAATCATATCATATATTTGTTTATATCTTTAATAAAAATAAAACAAACACATGAATACAAACAGGGTCTATAATGAATTTAACTGGCAGTTATGTTTAGTTTGCAGTTAATGTTCATATAAGGTCTGAAACTTTATAAAGGTCTATCTGATTCTCTTCTATCTTTGAGGTCGGTTTTAATGACACAGTTTGTTCAACCAAACAAATAATAATGACACTATCATTAGTGTTGTCATTCTGCATCACATGTGTTCTCTAAAGTCCAGGTACAGTTAGAAAAGTGTGCTGGAATATTGTTTAGTAATTGTTTAGCAGCAGGATGAGGCAGACAAGCTGGTGAAATTCTTCCAAATACAGACTGCAGTGCTGTTTCAATCCACTAGATGTTCTCAGCGTGTCAGATATCAATGTTTATCGGCATTAACCTCCTGAGACCCAGCTGTGGAGTTTTTGCCTCTGTAGTGGACATTATATTTTAGTGAATTTCTCTGAGACCTCACATGTCACAGTTGTAAGTTTGGATGTCCTGAACAGAGCACATTCAGGGCTTTGCAGAGATGCCACATGATTGGATGTTTCACCATGACCACTCCCTTTCCTTGGGCTTTAAAAATGGCTGACATTAATTTAGTGATACAATTGTACATCCTTATGGAA